CTCAACAATCAAAAGTAGAATAGTCCCTAAGCTAGACCCAACAACCAGAAGAATAAGAGAAGCATCTTAGAGGAATCTTGATTGAAAGAAACGACTTCTTGATTGAAGTTTATAAGTCTATATATTATCATAGACAAAAAAAAAATATATAGTTGAATTTGTTGTAACACTAGCTAGTTATTATTTTTAGTTTTAGAGGAGGATTCTTGATCTAAAACGTTTATTTGTTCATTGAGCTGTGAATACCTTGTTACCGTCTTTACAATAATAATAGAAATTAATATTTTTCTTGAGTATTTTTAAAACAATTTGTAAATTTGAGAAAAGAAGAATGGAAGCTAATCCTGGTCTTGTGTAAAAGATATGAACGTAGGCATGTGATGAGGAAGAATTCGAAGACGGTGCCTTATTTTGCGGCGATCCTTTAGGGCAACATGCATAATTTTTTAGCTTCTTGCATGTATATAAATTAATATATTAAACGTCCTTTTTCTAGAGATCTTACAGTATAAAACATGTATTAGAACGTACAAATTTTATGTGGTTCAAAACAAAAATAATATGAACTTTTTACTACACATATATGAAATAATTCAATGAACAAACATAATTAAAAAAATGGATTTTAATAAAACGTATCTAACGCATTATGCAGATTTGAATTCAGATAGTTACATAGCGACGACACGAGATCATTAGAATACAAATCTTAGTCAGCATTGTTTTTTTATTTTTTTTCTTCTTTGAAATATAGGAAAATCTTTTTTTTTGGAAAACCATAGACAAAAGATTCTCTTAACCACATTATTTAATGTCGATGAAAGAAATTCAAGATTTATAAAGGCAATTTGAAATATTCCATAGAAGAAGGCATGGGAAATGGAGGAATTGTGAATGGAGTGTCGGTACGTAAATAGGTTAGGACAAAACATAGTTTCCTCATATTTCTTAGTGCCCACATGAGTCTCTACCATTCCTTCTCTCACATCAATGCTCTCTTCACTCTTAATTATTTACTTCGAATATTTGTC